AAATCGGCGTTGATCTGCTAGTCTCTGTTCTGTTATTTCTGATTTTGGATGTTGTTCTTTCCAGAACTAGTGCATTCGTTTTAGATATCCTCGTCTTGTTGGACTTGATCTGTAGTAACAGATCATTATTTCTTTGTTTTCCATCACTGTGTATCTGCGACGGGTAAACACCTTTTCTTCCAGTAGTTCTGCAGCTGCTGGCCCTGGTTGCTCAGCCAACAGTCCTGAGTCCTGTAACCCATTTTTCACCAGATATCCAGGAACTCCAATATCTAGTGCGGACCTTGTTAACCCGGGCGACGTCCGAGCCGGTATGGCATTCTGAAATTTACGTCTCACCATATTTTTTATGGGAGAGACACTCTTTGTCTGACTCCTCTGATGAGACCTGTCCATTATGGTTGAACCTCTGGCATAGCTCTCATCTTCCTCAGAGTACACAAGCCCCACAACCACGTCAAGGTAGTGCCTCACTGGGGGATTATTATTATTATTATTATTATTATTATTATTATTATTATTATTATGTTAGTACTCTCTACCAGTCAGCTGAACAGGAGGAAAGGCAAATCAATTGGTTTATCTTTGCATTGCCTAATATTATTCATATCGCCTAACAGATACTTTGACATGTGTTGGAAGCTTCCAAAGATCCTCCCCCCTTTTAAAAAAAAACTCAGAATACCCTTCCCTGATAAGAACGGTTTTTCAGTTATGTGGGACTTCAGTTCTCAACATCCCTGGCTATTGCTGGATAAGAACCTTGAGATCTGAAGCTGACATCATCCTCAGGTCACTAGACTCAGAGCAGTGATTCTGAAGGAAAACATTTCACAAAAGAGAAGGAAAAATTGTCCTGAAAATGTCAGGATCTACCATTTGGCTGAGTTAACACAACATATGAACTCCAGCTTAACAAATTGATCTGATTTTTTGGAAGGGACCTTGGAGGTTTTCTATTCCGACTCCCTGCTCAAGTGCAAAAAACCTTAAACCATTCCAGACAAATGATTGTCCAATCTCTTCTTAAAAACCTCCAGTGATGGAGCACCCATAACTTCTGAATGCAAGCCATTGCACTGATTAATCGTTCTAATTGTCAGGAAATTTCTCCTTAGTTCTAGACTGGTTCTCTCTTTGATTAGTTTCCATCCATTGTTTCTTGTCTGGTCTTCCATTGGTTTGGAAAATAGGTTGATCCCCCTCTTCTTTGTGGCAATACCTCAATATTGGAACACTGCTATCATGTCACTCCTAGTCCTTCTTTTCATTAAACTAGACATGCCCAATTCCTGCATTGTGTCGTCATATGTTTTATCCTCCACTTCCCTAATCAACTTTATTGCTCTTCTCTGCACTCTTTCCACAGTCTCAATATCGTTCTGGGGTAGGCAACCTTGGCTCTTTTATGACTTGTGGACTTCAACTCCCAGAATTCCTGAGCCAGCTTCTGGGAGTTGAATCCATGAGTCATAAAAGAGCCAAGGTTGCCTACCCCAGCCGCACGAGTGATAGTGGGTGCTCCTCGATACACCCACGTTACACCTATCCTCCGTGAGCTGCACTGGTTGCCTATTGGTCTCCGGGTCCAATTCAAGATGTTGGTCATTACCTTTAAAGCCCTATACGGCTCAGGGCCAGACTATTTGCGAGACCGCCTACTACCTCATAGTTCCCTACGTCCGGTTAGATCCCACAGGCTGGGCCTCCTTCAGGCCCCGTCGGCCAAGCAGTGCCATTTGGCGGGGCCGCGGAGGAGGGCCTTCTCTGTGATGGCGCCCACGCTTTGGAATCAGCTCCCCCCGGAGATTAGGACCGCTCCCACCCTGTTGATCTTCCGTAAGCTACTTAAGACCTGGCTTTTCCGGCAGGCCTGGGGTTTATAAAACCTTACCCCTGGATGATTGTTTTTGTATTGTTGTTTTGTTATGTTTTATGTATCTTTTATTGTTAGCCACCCAGAGTCCTTCGGGAGTGGGGCAGCTTATAAATTTTAAAAATAAAAAATAAAATAAATAAAATAATCATCTTTGTTGCTCTTCTTTGTTGCTCTTTTCATTAAATAAGGGTGCCAATATATTACATCCCCAAATTTAACACCTTTTGGCGTATAAGCTATGCATCCAAACTGTGCATCATGTTGTTCAACATGAATACAATACAATACAAATACAATGCAGATTAAAAATTAAATTAAAATTAGAAAATACAATACAATTAAATATTCCATATTGAACAAGTAAAGTAAAGGGATGCCAAAGAGACTCTTCAGCCAGGCTGTCGTTGCTCTAGAGCAGGGCTTTTCAACCAGTGGTACGGGTACCACCTATGGTACATTGACACCTGGCAGGTGGTACGTGACCATCCTAGAACAGTGGTAGCGGGGGAGGGGAATGAGCTGAACCGGTGGCAGCACTGTACAAGCCTGAGAGATGGCTGGAACTGCAGGGCTATCAGGACTCAGCAGAAGTGCCAGGATCAGTGCCAGGCTCCAGCTGGAGCTTGGCGCTGATCCTGGTGCTTCTGCTGAGCCCAGAAGAAGCGCCGATCAGCTGGAATGTTGCAGCATCTCCAGGGTCTTGTGATTTACATTCAGATGCCTGGCAAATGATTCATATTTATGACGGTCACAGTGTCCCAGGGTCATGGGAAGTGACCAAAATCTGCTGCAACCACCCAGCAGACTGGGGGAATAAAAACCAAACACCCCCTACCCCACCCCCGCTGCCAATCCTCAACAGAAATGTTCATAACAATGAAAACCTCGGACAGGAGGAAGTGCGCCGCTGGCCGGGCGGGCAGGCAGATGTCTTGCTTGGCTGTGGCTTGGGGGGGGCACTTTTTTCAGTGCCATTGTAACTTCGAACAGTCACTAAGCGAACTGTTGTAAGTCGGGGACTACCTGTATTTTCTCACTTTTTTCCTTTTTGGGGGAGGGTCATCATGTTTTTGACACCTTGCTAGGCAACTGGTGGTATTTGGATGTTGCCATATCCTAAAAGTGGTACCATGGGTGAAAAGGTTGAAAAGCCCTGTTCTAGAGCAGGGGTAGGCAACCTTGGCTCTTTTATGACTCATGGATTCAACTCCCAGAAGCTGGCTCAGGAATTCTGGGAGTTGAAGTCCACAAGTCATAAAGGAGCCAAGGTTGCCTACCCCTGCTCTAGAGCTTCCTCAGCCAACCTTTCAAAGTTATACTTAAAATCTTCCATCCTATTTGTATTTTTGGTAGAAGTACAGGTAGTCCTTGACATACGACTGTGAAGGAACCCTGCCCATTACGGCTGTATGTAATGTCAATTGTAAAATTGGGTCAGTCACATGACCAACCTGATTTTATTACCTTTTTTGGGGCAGTCATTAAGAAAACAATTTTAAAATGATGAAACAATCGTAAAATGTGGTCATGTGACTGCAAGATGCAAAAAGCGGCTTTAATGCAGCCATGTTGTGAGTGCCCGAAATGCAGTCACATGATCATAGGGAGGATGACTTTGGGAACTTCGGAATAGGTCATAACTTCTAACAGTCGCTAAGCAAATGGTCGTAAGTCGAGGGCTACCTATATTTGAATGCTGTCTAGGAAAAGTCTTGGAATAGTGATGTAATTTCCATCCCACTGCACCATGACTCCAGCAGACAACTTTGGTCTGAACCCAAATGTTCATGTCAGCCTCAAACACATGTAACATTGGGCAAAACTCATTTAACAAATGTCTCACTTAACAACAGAAACTTTGGACTCAATTGTGGTCATAAGTCAAGGACTACCTGTATATGTTTCAACTGGATTTTCTTTGTTTGGCAAAGCTATTAATTAATAATATTCAAATATTCTTAATGTCTTTATAAAACATAACAGTGTTATTAATTCAAATTAATAAGATGTGAAAAGGGAAAAGCAAGTGCTTTCCATCCAGCTTTCCACTTCATTTTTAATTTTAATTCCTAATGCGTAAGAATAATTTAAATATAATACCCACTAGATGTCCTCAAAAGCTTATGCCAGGGGGAAATATCTGTCATATTCAAAGCTTGCATACATTACAAGTGTAATAAGGAAGACTCCCTCGTGATCATCATTCAAAGCTGTTTACACGCTGCTTTATATTCTACGTAAGGCACAAATCACTAATCAGACTAATCACTAATCAAGATAGGGATTTTAATTTTATTTTCATACTAAAGTTGCCAGATGCAGTTTTAATGTCTGATCTATATTATTGATTTTCCATATAATAGACATACTGGAGAACCTGAAGTTAAGTAAAGACGTCACAAATTTTGTTAAAAACTTCTGGGTGGGGGAGGCTAAAATTGCCATGAAAATCTAACAAGCTGGTTGACAAGCCATCACTTTTCAACTTCTTGTATTAGTGGCATGGATACAAAACAAATACGTACAACTGGAATTTACACACCGGGAACTGAGTGAGCCTCCTGTAAAATGAATGGGAGCTGTTTTCGAGAAGCTGGGAGGGAGGAATTTCACAGGGAAATTGTTCAAAGATTGTGCCCTCAACATCAATCATTGAGTCCTGAATTCTGGTTTTTCTTTTAGTTTGATTTCCCCTTTAGAAATGTTAAGCACTCATACTTACTAAAGTCAAATAACAGCTCTTTCTCACACATTTATTGTTGCATTAGCTTTTGTGGTTCATGGTGCATTTCATCAAATAAAAAGTTTGCTTTGTTCTGCCTTTTGAAAGTTTGTTTTTTCCAGCTCAAAAAAAAAACCATCCTCACAAATCTTTTCAAAGTTAGGGGTTTTTTTTCTTTTCAGATTCTGAAGTCTCCCTTAAAAGTTACGCTTCTAACTATGACTAATAGACTACTGGTTGATTATACATCTTGATTGACCTAACAACCACCTGTTCTGCCCCTTATCCAAGATATGTATTAAAAATAAACATGAAGTTTAAAATGCCCATCCCATATGTCTCAGCACATTCATTTCTCCTTTTACTTGCAGAAAAAATAAATCTAGTATTAAAATGTACCTGGAAAGTGGATTAATCCAGATGTCAAAGATCCGAATTCTTAGCTGAGAGATTTGAAGAAGCCCTGTGTCTTTTTATAGTAAAGGTGTGCTGTAAGATCTTGACTGAAGCAAAGGAGGTGGGGCCATTCTCCAGTCCATTTAGGGATTTTTTAAAAAAGCACAGACAATCATAGTTTTGATTACCACCCGGGTATGTAAAAACAAGAGAGAATAAACTTATCTTATAATTATAATTAAAAATTGATATGACGATAAGAATTGAAACATGTTGCATACCACACACAATGAGTATAAAATGAAACCAGCAGCATAAATCTTTTAGGAAATTACCTAGAATTAAGTCATAAACTGAGCTTCTCTAGCTCATAATTCTATCTACCGTCGAGAGACTTAAAATCATTAATCTGAATGTAGGTAAAGTATGCGACATGTAGTAACACCTTTCCCATTATATAGTCATTGGCTTTCCCATTATATAGTCATTAATTCTTTTGTTTGTTTTGATGTCAATCATCTTAGGTAAACTTTTGGTATCTCATTAATTCCCAAATAATATGAAGCCAAAAAATAAATTAGTAATAGAATTTGCATTAAAATCATCCCATTATAAAGTCGGAGGGTAGTTGGATGGACATTTATTTCATTCTTCTAGATCAGCAGTCACCAACCTTTTTGGCTCTGCAGACTGGCAGCATTGGGGGAGGGGGTGATGGTTTTGCACACTTATCCACCACTTGTGCAGCCAGTTCCCAACTGGCTGTGGACTGGTACTGGTCCGTGGACTGAGGGTGGGGATCCCTGTTCTAGCTAATGCAAGAATGTGGATGATCTGATGTTGTTCTCCTGATACTGCCAATTACAAATATCTGCCCCCAAAAAGTACTTCCATATTAATTCAAGATGCTTTTTCAGGAGGCAACTGGACTTTCTTGTTTTTCTTTGAAGACGTTTCGCTTCTCATTCAAGACGCTTCTTCAGCTCTCACTGGATGGTGGGGAATGGAAGGATTTATATTCCTTGCAGACAGCTGGTCATTTGCATTCTTTTAGAGAATCATTGAGGACATTTGGAAGTTGATCTATGTCCTCAGGGTCACCTGAGCAGTGCAAACGTGTGTGGAGCCTTCTTGGCTGCAGGATGTTTTCTGACCTGTGTCTCTTCACTGTTGAAGACAGGCGCAAGCTGTTGGGGATGAGATGTCTGCATCTCAAACTGAAGCGCAAATGATTCCTGTAGTCTGCAATGTTTCCTAGAAATCTATTCATACTCTCGCACCATTCAAAAGGTGTTCATCCCAAAGTGCATAGCTAAATGTCTATGAAGATTCTCAGTCATCCAGGTCATGGCTGTCTCAAAGGTGCTTTTTCATCTTTCTTCAAAGAAAAACAAGAAAGTCCAGTTGCCTTCTGAAAAAGCACCAGGATGACTGAGAATCTCCATAGATACTTTCATATTAAGTATGAGTGGGAGGCTGGGCAGCTTGTCATATGCTGTACCACCAGCACCACCACCATGCTATTCAGAGATCCCTCAGAATCCCCATGCAAGCAGAGCCAAACTATTTGATCTATGGTCAAATATTTAAGGGGACAGGGAAAGGAATTGAAAGTGTGTTTTCTATTTTAGAGAAATAGAAAACAGTATACTGTTAAGTCCTCGCCCAAAGATTGGGCTGATTTTTCTCTTTTTCAGGAGTTTTAGAATTCTATATGTTATTTTTAAAGAAGATATTGAAGAATATAAATTGCTATTTATTTGTTTTTATTTGTAGGGAGTCCTTGACTTACAATCGCTTAGTGACCATTCAGAGTTACAACAGCACTAAAAAAAGTGACTTATGACCATTTTTCACACTGAACACCATTGCGGCATCCCCATGGCTATGTGATTTACATTCAGATGCTTGAACAACTGACTCACATTTATGACGGTCACAGTGTCCCGGGGTCATGTGATTATCTTTTGCGTCCTTCTGACAAGCAAAAGCAATGGGGGAAAGCCAGATTCATTTTAACAACCGTGTTGCTAATTTAATCACTGCAGTGATTCGAAAAGTTGTAAAATGGGGCAAAACCCACTTAACAAATTTCTCACTTAGCAACATAAATTTGGGGCTTAATTGTGGTTGTACATTGAGGACTACCTGTATTTATATCCCACCTTTATTATTTTTACAAATAACTCAAGGCGGTGAACATATCCAACAGACCTTCTTCCTCCCGTTTTCCCCACAGCTGTGCTGAGAGATGTGATTGGCCCAAAGTCACCCAACTGGCTTTTAGAGCTAAGGTGTGACTTGAACTCTGCCACTTTCTAATTTAGTGCCTTAGCCGCTAGACCAAACTAGCTCTATTTAAAGCAATAAAGAAAAATAAATATGTGGCTGGTGAGATGTTGTGGATCCCATCTGCTAACGATGAGACTTAAGAGAGAAGCTTTTTTCTGCTGTGAACCCCACCCTATGAAACATCATTTCCCAAGAGGTGGGGTTAGCCCCAACCTTATGATCTTCTGGAAAGCCTCAAAATCAAGCCTGGACCTTGTGCATCAGCTGCACCGCATGTAACATTCTGTTTTCAACCCATCGTGACCCAGTTGTTATTTATGTTTAAGAGGTTTTCATAATATGTTTTGATTGTTAGTTTTCTTGCTCAGGGTCATCTTATGTGAGATTGGGGGGGGATATAAATTTGATAAATAAATATATATATAAATATTTTCCTTTATATGACAGTAGCTTTTTGGAGTCAGATTCATTACTAAAGTCTGAGTGCTGGCCTAGCATTCAACCAATATTTGATCTTGATTGTGTGAGTGTTGAAATCCCACTTTCAGAGAGAAAAGTTGCATGTAGGGTATGTATGTATAATTGAAACCTGAGCAAGTCCTTCCAAAGAATAGAATAGAATAAAATAGAATAGAGTAGAGTAGAGTAGAGTAGAGTAGAGTAGAGTAGAGTAGAGTAGAGTAGAGTAGAGTAGAGTAGAGTAGAGTAGGTAGCAAAGGTGAGGCTACCTAAGAAAACCAGCTGACATGTTATGCTGTTAGGATTTTAAAACAATTGTATTAAACTGTACTGGAGAAGACTCCTGCGAGTCCCTTGGACTGCAAGGCGTTCAAACCGGTCAGTCCTAGAAGAGATCAACCCCGACTGCTCTTTAGAAGGCCAGATCCTGAAGTTGAAACTCAAATACTTTGGCCACCTAATGAGAAGGAAGGACTCACTGGAGAAGGGCCTAATGATGGGAAAGATTGAGGGCAATAGAAGAATGGGACGACAGAGAATGAGATGGCTGGATGGAGTCACTGAAGCAGTAGGTGTGAACTTAAATGGACTCCAGAAGATGGTAGAGGACAGGAAGACCTGGAGGAATGTTGTCCATGGGGTCGCGATGGGTCGAACACGACTTCGCAATTAACAACAACAACAACAAGCAGAGTCTTGCATTACTGTTTAGAAAAAGGTTTGTTTTCTATGAAACATAGTTTATCAGAGGCAATGATAGAAGCATCTCAGGGGAAAATGCCTAAGGGACTTAAATCAGGTCTTGGCAAACCTTACATTGTCAAGTTATTTGCACATGAAGTAAGTAATACAGCATGAGCATAATATGCTAGGAATGAAACGGGCAACAGTTATGTGTTCTGGAAAATAATAGCAATCCTTATGGAGCTTTAGAGCTTGCCCTGTAGTCTCTCATGAGGTGGATCAGAGGAATTGTTTGGCTAATAACATGCCATGTTTTACAATACATCCCTTTGAAGAACCAAAATAAAATGCCCTATGTTAAACTGGCCTTGTTCCCAACTAAAAGATACAGAATTACATCCTAAATCTACTTCAGTTAAAAATTTGCCTTCTCAGACATTTTGAGTTCATTCTACAATGTAGTCAGTGGTTTAAAATTGGCTTCTGGTTGCTTAAATAGGCAAGAAATGCTGTATGGTTTGTGTATGTCACAAGCCTTCCAAATTTAATATTATTGATCTGCATGTATGTATCTGGTAAATCATGTCAGATTGGGAAACTAAGGGAGTGCTTCCTTGCTTATACTTGGTGGGAGGGTCATCAAGCATAGAATAGATTAGACCAGCAGTTCTCAACCTGTGGGTCGGGACTCCATTTGGGGTCAAACGACCATTTCACAGGGGTCACCAAACAACGCAGTCCGCCATTTTCTTCCCCCTTTTCCTTAGCTGTGCTACTCCCTTTTATTCTATTGGCTTTTGAAAGCCAATAGAATAGACTCTCTTGAATAGAGTCTAAGTCTATTGGCTTTCAAAAGCCAATAGGAATTGTCCAGGCTGTCTCTGCCCTGCTGAGCCCGCCAAAAGCCCCATTCTGCAAACGGTGCTGCAAGTTGTCTGCAGTGAAGGCGAGCTGTCTGGAAGTTTCCACCCCTCCCTGCTGAGCAACTACTAAAAATGTAAGTAAAAGAGAGCCAGGGGTGGGAGGTGGGAGGCCAGTGGGCGCAGGGAGGGTTTCTGGCGCACGTGGGGCCTGGTGGGTGCCTTACCTCCCTTGGGCTGGGCCAGCTGGTGGCCCAGCCGGTGGTCGCCCTGCGCCGTCGCTGCCCTTTGCCAGCTATGCCTCGGCCGGCGCAGGGGGCAGCACCACACATGCGCGGCACTCCTAGGCAGAGAAAGTCCTTGACTTACGACTGGTTGAGTAGTCCTCGACTTACAACTGGTTGAGTAGTCCTCGACTTACAACCGGTCAGGGGTTGTGGCATTAAAAAGGTTGAGAACCACTGGATTAGAACATTGAAAAAAACATTGCTTAAGAGAGTCTATGACAATTCTTTGCAGCCAACTCACCATGACCAACTCACCACGGCCAACATGCTGTGGGACAACTCACCATGGCCAACTCACTGCAGGACAAGAGTTACACAAATAACAAAAAAACGGTGGAATAGAATCATTAAAGAAAGGATGCAAAAGGAGCGTCAGAATGAAATGGGAATGGCAAAAATTAGAATATTTTTTAATTTATTTTAAATAATTAAATAGAATTGTTATGGGATCTCACTCCATCTCGCTGGGCTCCAACCATTGGAATGCAGCCCATTTCTGGGCTGGCAGTTCCAGAGTCATTAAGTCACTGCACCATTTCATCTCCCTCTCACCACTGAATTTCAT